TGAGATAGAGAACAATAAAATCTTCAAATCAGTGGATTGTGGAAGAATAACGGGGATTACAAATTTGCAAGAAATATGCGATTTTTCGTTCTAATTGTACAATTGCTCATACAAAGCCATAGTGGGAAAGCTACTACTGCCAATAGTTTGTAGCTGGGTGGAATTCAGACCTTTTATCTGTAACGAAAACAGATGAATTAGACATACCTTCTCCAGCTCATCTTGGATCTCCTGAAGCTTTTCCATTGAAAGGGAAAGACCGTTGTCAAGGTTCTCCACTTTCTCTCCCACCTTCTGCTTCTTCCCTTTATCTGCCACCATTTTTTCCGTCTTTAATTTTCAACGCACAAGCAGAGGGTTTAAACCCTAAACCCTCCTTTGTGTAGGCTTATATACACACAAACTCGGCAATAACCAAGCTCGAGTCTTGAGACCGGCCAAACTATCAAATTGGTAAAAAGAAAGAAAAAGGTAACAACTACGGAGTATGTAAAAAGAATAGGTAATTGACGGCAAATTGGGGCTGGGCTCTTTCTTATACCAGATAAATTGGTTCTAATACAAGTGTACAACATCCATTTAATTAAAAAAAATTGAGAAAATGGTCAAAGTGGTACATGAAATACTCTTCACGAGAGTAAGTGTACTTCATCTTGCATTTGAAATTTTAAAGTACATGAACTTGTATTTTTATAATCGGTGAAGTACATATGCTCTGTCAGAACATTAAAATAGTTGATCTGCCTAAACTATCCGTTTGTATTATACGGTTGCGGTTCAAGTCATCAGATAATTAATCTAACTCTATTTTCTTCCAGTTCAGTCGTTTTCACCTTCGCTCTTGATTCGTTATAATAGGATTTTTTTCGTTATATTTCTCGTCTGCTCTCCGTGCTATCCAGTCAGCTTCTTCTTTTATTTGCTATCAGCCCATCTTTATTATAGCAACAGAAAAAGAAGAAGAAAATAAAATAGAGAAAAAAGAAGAAGTCGACGGGATAGCAGAGAAAGCATACGAGAGAGAAGGAGAGCAGCACGGGCGGAGTTAGAGGAGGCCAACCTAGGCCCTGGCCCAACCCAAATTTAAAAAATGCTTTTTATTTTAAAGTAAAAATTCTGGGTTATTTTTTTCCCATAAATATTATTTGTACTACTCCAATCCAACCTAGTGCCCTGGCTCCGCCCTTGGAGAGTAGACGAGAGAAATATAAGATGAAGAGCAGAGAGAAGGGAGATCAAACGTGAGAAATATAAGATGAAGAGCGAAGATGGAAACAAGTGCATTGAAGGAAATTATAATTTATACATTAATTATTTGATGACTTGAACTGCAATGGTATATTACAAATTGATAGTTTGGCCATGTCAGCTATTTTAACGTTTTAACATAGCAAATGTACTTAATCGACTTTAAAAGTGCAAGTTCATGTACTTTTTAGTTTCAAGTGTAAGATGAAGTACTACTTACTCCACATCAAACAACTTCATGTACCATTTTGACAATTTTCTCATTAAAAATTATACTCTTCCTTCTCATTCAAAAGTTTCCACTTTCCCTTTTCAGGTGTTTGATTTTCGTTTATTTCCTCCGTCCTATTTTGTAAGATACATTTTTCTTTTTTGGTTTGCCTCGAAATATGATTACTTTCTTAAATTAGACTCTGCTGACTTTTTTCTTTCTTACTTTATCCATTTTTCACTCTTTACTTTTTTGTGGACTCATCTTACTATTTATTACTTTTTAGAGGTTAGAAATGTAAAACAACCACTTTGTCCTTTACTTTCTTAAAACCCACACCAAATTTATTCTTGCATGACAATTTAATCATCAGGTATTAAAATATAATACGAGTATATCTTTAACATCACAATTATCATCAATGACTTCATTATATTATATACCCTTCAAATTTATTCTTAAAATATACTCGAATAACCTTATTTGTTTATTTTATGTATAATCATGTCATTTTACCATGAGAATCTTTAAGCGGGACTAAGATAGTAATGAACTAAAACGGTCACATGTTCTTCTCTGTGGTCGATTTGTCCGACCATCCATTCCCTTTCTTTGTTGAGATCTATCAGTCATCTATTTACCGTTTTCGCTTATCTATTCTGTCACCTCCTTCATTGACTCTTCCATTGTTTCTTCTACTATTTTCTTCTAAATTAATTTACAGATAAGTCTTATAAATCTAAAAAATCATATTTGTATTTGAAAGTCTGCCACTTTTTCTCCAAACTATATACGGAGTATCTTTTATTGGACAACTTATATTTTGACTTATCACAAGTTACATTTTAATTTCATTAAGACTATTTAAATTTCAACTTGTCTCGTGTTACATCTCCATTTAGGTGATTACATTTCGACTTGACTCAAATTACATTTTCATTAATTGATTTATACGCCAATTTATCTCAAGTTACATTTCCATTAATGCAGTTTACATCTTGACTTGTCTCAAGTTACATTTTGGATATACGCGATTTACATTTCGACTATCACAAGTTACACTTTAAATACATGCGATTTATATCTCACTTTGTCTAAAGTTATATTTTGCATGCACTCGATTTACATGTCATCTATGGGAAGTGAGAGAATAACCCTTAAAGGAAATGGCATGAGTTAGATTTCAGTGCACTAGTTACATTTGTCATTGTGTGAGATTAAATTTGTACCAACGAGCTACATTTTAGAGCATGAGATATACACCAGGAAAAATTGAAACAAAAACATATTCAATGTTCACATGAGTTTTTAGGAGAGAAATACCCCAAATTGGGTGTGAAATAAATATCTCAAACTTGTATACGTGAAATTAAATACCCCAAACTTTAAAAAATAAGTTATCTTAGCACCGTTTTCTTATATTTTTCTTTCACAAATTTAAATTTGTGGTGACAAATAACTAATTTAAATGTATTAATCATTTTTAGTTGCAAAAATAATTTTACCGTTGTCTATATAGTTGCAACACTTTTAATTTGATAATTGCAAATAACTTATTGATGATTAACATATTTAATTGACTATTGGTGTAAAATTGTAAACATCATATTTTAATAATTTGATTTGGGATAAATTATTTACGAAGTAATATTTTCTTTAGGACAATTGTTCAATTCCTTAATAAATAAAATAGAGTCAAAGTATAGTGTGTGAATAACGTAAAAGTTAAAGTAGTGTATGTAATTAAATATAGTAAAAAGTAAAGTTTCAACTATATAAAACAAAGAAAGCTTGAGTACACCGTTTGTGATTAGAGGTAATATTATATATTTCACAAACGAAAGCTTAGAATATTAACTTTGTCACCATAAAATTTTATTGTATTGTAAATTATGTACAATTAAGTGATTAACAACATAAAATTACAATTGTAAAAGAAAAACATAGGGACATGGTGATAAAATAATTTTTCATATGAAGTTCGGGCTATATATATTACACATACATGTTTGAGGCACTTGCTCCCCACTCTCTAAAGTTTAGGATATTTAAAACATCTCATTTTTTTTTTAATTTCTGTGACAAAGCTTCTTGACCTATTATAGTATCTGTTCTATGTTAAGACCAACATTGTTGAACTGAGATAAGATTCAAACATGTAACCCCTCTCTGGAAGTATCACAGTGATGTGATCATTATATCATACCCCTTTTAATTAAAATTTAAACTTAATTAAAATTATTATATGTGAGAGGATGATATTCAATGGGTCGCTCTCCATAATATAATGATGGGTGATTGTCAAGTTTAACTTTTTTTTAGATAAAAAATGGTGAAAGAATTAGATTGTATTTGCTCTATTTCAAATACTCCATCCGTCCCGCTAAAATTTTTCAATTTTTGCTTTGCGAAAAGTCTCACTAATATTGCCTCATACAAAATATTAGTAGTGTTTGTATTGCTCTAAGCACATAAACTTATTTTTCTTAAAAATCGTGTCATATCCTTATGTTCTAATGTTAGTGATACAGAGATCCTCAAGCATGAATTAAAGTATGGAAACAGTGTGGAAGAGGTGGACACACCTGTAGGCAACACCATTGAAGGTGCTCATCATATTCATACTCCATTATTGTTTTAAAGTCAATGATCAAAGCTAAAGTACCTTATCATAAGCCAGAACTCCTCTTCCTTTCCAATTTGATGTTTTTGGAAAACGGTTATACTGGGATGGGACCGGAATAAAATCAACAACATTGGGTCATTGTATAGTGGAGGACTTTTCATGTCCAGCCGGCCTGACGGGAACCGCCGTCCGGTCGAGGGCATTTCTGGCACTTTCCGGTGGAATTGTTTGATGAATTTTTTTTAGCATGTTCTTCATGAAGTCTAGTTTATCCATACCAAATTTCAGCTAAAAGTTCAATCGGGAAGGCACTCAAATAATTTCTTGAAGTTAATTGGGCAGTTTATATGTATGAACTGCCCAGTTAACTTTAAGAAATTATTTGAATGCCTTCCCAATTGAATGTTTAGCTGAAATTTGATATTGATAAACTAGACTTCATGAAAAACATGCTCAAAAACTTTCATCACAAAATTCCACCGGGAAGTGCCTGAAATACCCTCGGCCGGACAGAGCATCCGTCAGGCCGGCCTGACATGAAGATTACTCTTGTATAGTGTATCTGTACAGTGTATACCACACAAGTCTATTAGGGAGTGTTTGCAACAGCTTCTGCTTTAAAAAAAGCACTTTTGGAGTGATTTGGAAAAAGTGATTATTTGTAAAAGTTGATAGTGTTTGAGAAAAAAGTGATTTTGAAAAGTAAAAGTTGGTAGTGTTTGGTAAAATAAGTGCTTTGGTGTATAAAAAGTGGAAAAGCACTTTTGACACGAAAGCCGAGAAAAATAAAAAATTGGTAGTGTTTGGTAAATAAGTGCTTTTTTAAGCCAAAAGCTGAGAAGTGCTTTTTTTAAAGTGGTTGCAAACCAGCCTTTAGTATCCTTTTTGACCCATTTTTGATAAAAATTCCAAACACGCCATCGTCCTCTTTCACCACCAACGCCTGTGCTTACTATCCTTGGCCATTCTCTGGTCAACCGCACGGAGCTCGGAGTGTCTCCTGGGTCTTTTGGAAGTCTCCCAGCGCGCGATTTGTCTTCAGCTTTGGCGTATCCGTGCTCCATAGCTAGCTGAAGTGTTGCAAGTTATGGGAACAAGTGAAATCATGAAGGTTGAGGTGTGTTTGATGGGTTAATGTCGCATTCGTTATTAGAATATTAGCATTGATTCGGGAATGAGCCCTGTTGTGCTTCCTAAGCATGTATCAGCCGTCATAAGATGTCAAAAGAATCCATTGAAAGCTTTAGAAATGTTCAATTCTGTGAAAAGAGATGAAGGGTTTAATCATAACTTGTTTACTTACAAATGCATGATAGAAAAACTCGGTCACCATGGGGAATTCGAGGCGATGGAACAGCTGCTCGAGGAGATGAGGGTAAATTTTGATAACAGATTGCTTGAGGGTGTGTATATCAGTGCTATTAGAAGTTATGGAAAGAAAGGAAGGATTCAGGAGGCAGCTGATGTGTTTGAAAGGATGGATTTTTACAACTGTGATCCATCCGTGCAGTCTTATAATGCTGTGATGAATTTATTGGTTGAGTGTGGGCAGTATAACCAAGCGCATAAAGTTTATATGTCCATGAGAGACAAGGGGGTCACTCCTGATGTGTACACTTTCACCATAAGGATGAAGTCTTTTTGTCACTCAAATAGGCCTCATGTTGCTTTGAGACTTCTGCACAACATGCCATCTCAGGGATGTGGGCTCAATGCAGTTGCATACTGTACAGTCATTGGTGGATTTTACGAAGTGAATTGTCATGTTGAGGCCAATGAACTGTTTGAGGAGATGCTTAGCATGGGAATAGTTCCTAATGTAATTACATTTAACAAGCTTATACACACACACTGTAAGCAGGGAAATATAAAAGAAAGTGAAAGACTTCTTGACAAGGTCTTTAAAAGGGGGGTTTCCCCAAATTTGTTTACATTTAATATTTTTACTCATGGCCTTTGTAGAAATGGGAGACCAGATGAGGCCATCAAGATGTTAGACACTGCAGCAAGAGGAGGATTTACTCCAGATGTTGTTACTTATAATACAATTATACGCGGCTTGTGCAAGAACTTAAAGGTTGTCGAAGCAGAGTCTTATTTGCATAAAATGGTAAACAGTGGGTTTATGCCCGATTCTTTTTCATACAACATAATAATTGATGGATACTGCAAATTGGGGATGGTACAGAGTGCAGATAAAGTTCTCAATGATGCAGCCTATAAAGGCTTTCTGCCGGACCAAGTCACATACATTTCCCTAATATATGGGTCATGTGAGGATGGAGACATAGACAAGGCCATAAGCTTATTTCATCAAGCAAAAAGGGAAGGTATCAAGCTCACTTTAGTTCTTTATAACACGCTAATCAAAGGGCTTTCTCAACAAGGGCTTATTTTGGAAGCCCTTCAGTTAATGACTGAGATGCCTGAAAAAGGATGTGAACCAGATTCTTGGACATATAACACAGTCATTAGTGGATTGTGTAAGATGGGATGTGTATCAGATGCCACTGATGTCATGAATATCGCTATGAACAAGGGGGTTCTTCCTGACATTTTCACCTTCAACACACTGATTGATGGGTATTGCAAACTGTCAAAAATGGCTGATGCAATTGAAATTTTAAACACCATGTGGGAATATGGTATTGCTCCTGATGTTATAACATGTAATTCAGTGCTGAATGGCCTCTGCAAGTCTTCAAGTTCTGGTGAAGTGATGGAGATGTTTGAACTGATGGTAGAAAAGGGGTGTAGTCCAAACATTATCACTTACAATATACTTATGGACAGCCTGTGTAAAGCTAGAAAGTACACAAAAGCTTTTGATTTGCTTGAGGAAATTGAAAGCAAGGGTATGTCTCCAGATGTTGTGGTCTTTGGCACATTGGTTAATGGATTTTGTGAAAATGGGGATTTGGATGGGGGCTATGAGCTGTTCCGGAGAATGGAAAGGCAATATAAATTTGCTCAGACGACTGCAACATACAATACTATGATAAATGCATTCTGTGAGAAGTTGAAAATGGACATGGCTGAATGCTTATTTTCTGAGATGAGTAAAAAAGGTTGTATCCCAGACAACTATACCTACCGTTGTATGATAGGTGGTTTTTGCAACGAAGGAGACTGTGATTCCAGTTACCGCTTCCTCCTTGACAACATCAAAAGGGAGTTGGTGCCATCACACGCAACATTTGGACGAGTGATTAATTGCCTATGCATGAAGCATAGGCTGCGTGATGCAGTTCATACTGTTCACCTTATGGTGCATAAGGGCATCGTTCCTGATGTTGTGCATACAATCTTTGAAGCTGATAAAAAGAGTGTTGCAGCACCCAAGATTGTTCTTGAAGACTTGCTGAAGAACAACCATATCACCTATTATGCATATGAACTCTTATATGATGCTATTAGAGATAAGAAGCTTATTAAACGGAAGCATCAAAGAAGGGAATTTGCTGGTAACCGGTGATGAAGTGCTGGATTATAACTAGAAAGTGCACCCATGAGCTTAGACTCAAACGTCCTGCCTCAATGCTACGAGAATCACACAGTTGTTTGAGGCTATTATAACCAAGGTCCTTGAAATGCATGGTAAATATGAACTGAATTCACTTTTTTATTTATGCTAACTTTTTTGTTATTTGAAAAGCGGAAGTTGTTTGGCCTTGTTACTGTGTGGGCCAGTTTCAACTATTAAAAAACTGCTAACATGAAAAAAAGTTTGTCCAACAGCAGAATGTGTAGCAGGTAATTGGTTGACAACAACAACATCCAAGCCTTAGTCCCAAAAGATTTTGGGATCGGCTAACATGAACGTATACATGATATCAGAGCCAAAAAGAAAAGGAAGATAAGAGAGATAAAAAGATAAGGTAAGATAAAAAGGTTGAGATAAAGATAAAGATAAACACTCCCTCCTTCCCTAAATTAAAGTCCCACTTTCCTTTTTGGGATGTCCCTAAATTAAAGTCTCACTTCCTTATTTGGTAAACAAATTTATATCAAACAGTTTCAAACAGTTACCCTACAGTAAAATTTACCCCTCAGTAAATTTATTTCCTTAATATGTGTGAAGTCAAACCAGGACTTTACTTAAGGGACGAAGGTAGTATAAGATAAAGGTAAAAAATGATAAGATGATAGGTAATGTACAATCACAGTATAAACTCTTAGTATTTGATTTAATGACGGAAAACAGAAAGGTAACTTTGAGACTCTTTGGTTGGTCTTGCACTCCCAAAATCCCAGTCCCGATCCCAAAATCCTGCCCCCTTATACTCACAGCTCACCCCTTTTTATTATATTTCTAATGGGCCAGCCCACTTCTATTTTAGTTATAGGGCCTAAACTCCTTTTATTGTACAATATTAAAAGACTTAATAGTATTCTTATTCTAGTATTGTTTTACGTCTCTATCATCACTCCCCTCTTGAACTACCACCTTGTCCTCAAGGTGGGTAGTAAGAAACTGATCTGGCATTTGGTTTCAGTGGGTTATCTGCTACATCATGTTCAGGCTGCTGATCACTTGTTCCCGTCTCTTCTTCTGGTCCTTCCATCAAGACGAATTGGTAATGTTTCATTCCACAAGCATGTTCTTTACCCCATTTGTCTCCCCATTTGAGGCACATACCCTTTTTACTTCTTTCTTCTAGCTCTGCTTGTGTCAATCTTTGGCCTCCCTCCCATGTCTTTTCGGTTTTGGTAATTCCTCCAGTTTGTTATCTGAATGTGTTCTCTCAGGAGTCACAACAGGTGTTCTTCCCTTCGCTGATTCCACCCAGTTCAAGGGTCTAGCCATTTTCCCTCTCTGTTCATTCCATCCTTTTTTGTCTTCTTCCTTATTTCTTTCTCCTTCCACACCTTGTTCTTCTCTTCGAACAACAAAGCCTTGTCCATCAGTTCAGTTAACCCACTGGTCAGGTACAACTTTAGTTCCGTGCTAATTTCTTCTTTAAGGCCATTGAGAAACACTCCTTTTAACATCTCTTGGTCAACAAGTTTGAGAGGAGCTACAACCATTTCAAAGTGATCCCGGTACTCCATTACTGAATCAGTTTGCCTAATACTGAGCATAGGACCAAACAGGTTCTGTACTAAGGCCGGTTGGAAACGCCGGATCAAAGCCTCTTTGAAGTTAACCCAAGAATGGTCAGCTCTCTGTTCATCCCACCATTGGTACCAGTTCAGAGCTTTTCCGGCCATGGCTATCATGATTATTTCCACTTTGTCACCCTCCGATACATTATTTAGTTTAAAATAGTGTTCAACCCTGATAAGCCATCCATGAGCATCGTCTCAGTTGAACAACGGTAAATCCACCTTTCTTCCCGTATAAACTCGATCTTCGATTCTCGTATTATCAGGAGTATGTGAAACAGATCCAGATTCATGAGGGTTACCTCCAAAATTGGACGAGCTCAACTGGCGGAAGTCTGTCGTCTACGATTGGTGGTCGATCGTCCCCGTCTTCTCCTGCGACTGCCCTGGACTTCGAGACTTTGCATCTTCTCCAGAAACACCTGCACTTTCTCTTCCATAAAGGCTCGCATCTCCGTTCACATCTCTTCCCTTGAACGCTTCAATGATCGCTCCAAACTTTCAATCCTCAGTTCCATGTTCGACCGAGTGAATACCATACACAACTACAGTGATCGTTTGCTTTGATACCAATGATAGGTAACGTACAATCACAGTATAAACTCTTAGTATAAGATTTAATGACGGAAAACAGAAAGGTAACTTTGAGACTCTTCGAGTGGTCTCGCACTCCCAAAATCTTAGTCCCGATCCCAAAATTCTGCCCCCCTTCTACTCACAGCTCACCTCTATTTATTCTTTTTCTAATGGGCCAGCCCACTTCTATTTTAGTTATAGGGCCTAAACCCCTTTTATTGTACAATATTAGTAATAGCCTAATATATTTAGGAATCTGCCTAATATATATTTAGGTTCCCATGAACCCTAGGGTAGTAGCTTAGGAATCTGCCTAATCTATATTTAGTTTCCCATTATTTAGGGAAATAATGGGGGGAAAATACTTTTTTTTTCGGTTTCCATGAACCCTAGTACCGCCGCCGCCGCCTCGGGGTCGACTGCCGCCACATCTATGGCAGTCTCCGATCCTTTGAGGACGAGCGTGGCTGATATGGCGCAGATCACCTTCTCCGCGTCGCTGACCACGATACTTGCTTCCACTGTGCTGTTGAGTTCGCCGCCTGCTGGTGCCGACTACGTTCGCGCATCGCACCTCCGCGTCGCTGACCACGGTGCTTGCTTCCAGCGTGCCGTTTAGTTCGCCGCTTGCTGCTGCATACTTTCATTCTCTAGCCAAGTCCAGTTTGGCCGCTCGTACAGCTATTCCAAAGCGCTGCGCCGATCTCACTCTCTTCGGCGACCCTGACATGATCCCATCCATCGTCTTCTGCTGGGCCAGTTGGCTGTCGACCGGCATCCTCTCCACTGCGAACTCCATTCGCTGCTCTTGCTCAAGGTATCTTCAGGGGTCACCAAATTATGGACAATATTTGTTGTATTTCTTGGTCCTAATCTAGTTTCTTGGAAGTTATTGAAATAACCTACTTGCTCATGGAGACCTTATTCTCAAATATGTGTCTTCTAATCTTTCGCTGGCGAATATATTTACTAAGAGTTTTTCTAGTTTGCAATTTCATTTTTTAAAAAGACAACCTGCGCGTTATATCTCCCGCACAGTTTGAGGGGGTGTAATAGCCTAATATGTTTAGGAATCTGCCTAATATATATTTATGAATCTGCCTAATATCTATTTAGGAATACTTTGTATTTTGGCAACTTTTCTATTATAAATATATCTGTCAGGACTCCTATTGGAGTACCCTTTCCCATTATTTCACAACTAGAAGACTTAATAGTATCCTTATTCTAGTATTGTTTAAGGTCTCTATCATAAGATAATGAGGATAAAAAATGATAGGATAATGAGGATAAAAAGAAAATGTATAAAATAAAAAGGATATAATCTGTTTGTTTGTTTCTTACTGTCCTTGAGGATATCCAGGGAATCCTCTTCCTCGAGAAACCTTTCAGGCTGGGAAGTAGAGGGTGTTGTAGGATTTTTCAAAATATTAGATTTTTCACTGGCAGGGAGCCATGGCAGAAAAAGTTTTTTTTTTCTTCAAAACTCTACACACAAATGAAAATGTCAAGAGATGTTCTACAAGAGAAGCAAGTCCACAATGCCTGTTCACATTTAAGGTTCCCTCTGTCTACCTCAGGAATTCAGAGAAGGAAGATTTTTCATGTAATAGCCACTTTCTTTGCTTAGAGAACAAAAAAGAAAGTGTTTGAATGCCCTTTTTGCAAGCTATTCTGCTAGTGCTAAGTTGATGTCTCTTAGAAAGAATCAGTTTGGAAGAGAAGAGTGCTGAAAGAAATATCACTTTCACAATATAAATTACTATTATAAAGAAGAGTTGAGAAAAAACACTATTTGTTCATTCTATTTCTAGACTTTCTGTCCGTTTGTTAGACACATATTTGGCTTAACCTGATAAACCTGATTTTCTAACAAACATTTAGGTGGATGTTTTGGTTGAATTTGTTGATTAACAAATAGCTAAAAAATTATTGTTGGACTTTTGTTGATTCCATAAACTGTTCAATTATGTAAAATTTGCATGCATATTTTCATTAATAGTATTAGCCTTTGTCTATTTTACAAATTTTGCCGCATGCACCATTATCTACAAAATTTTGCCTTTCGATCGTAATGTTGTTAGTGCTGTTTATTAACTTTAGTTGTGCTTGTTTAGTTGTGCATGTCTGCACTGCGCTTCTCTTGGGTCACTGAGTTCTCAAAAAGCTTGGAATGGATGGAGACTAAGAGTCTAAGAATGAGTTGTTGAGGTGAGTGGTAATGGCAAAGAGCACTCTCTTGGTTATCCGTTAATTATGTTCGGCACATTTTTTCTTACATGCTACTGGGGAAGACTACTCTGTTGAACCTACTGAAAGCAGAAGGCCTTTCCATGCTCTTCTGGATGTTGGTTTTGTAGGAACAATGGAATCGTGCTATATAGTGCCCCGAAAGGAACATTTTTTCATGAATATCAACCTTTCGGTCAACAATATCACTTAGTCACATCACATGAATCAACCCTGTTAGTGCAAAGTTCACACTCAAAGTTTTTTCATTTTGGTTTAGTATGTTGCGTAAGGAACCCAAAAATTTCACCCATCCTCAAGTTAATAGTAAATTAGGAATGCTTATGTTTAGCCATGTGATTCAATTCTCAATGCTTTTAACGTTGCATTAACTTTACTTCATCTGCTTTCTTTAAAGTGTCAAAACTGTCTGTTGTCTAAGTTTCCTATGAGGCATAATCCTTAACCAAGAAATTGGTGTTGTGCATCATTTTGTCTTCCAGACAAGTTTATGTATTGTGCATCCTTAACCAATATTTAGATGTGTTGGTTATGCCACTAACTCTGTTTTTTTGTTAGATTTTATGTGAGTACTTGAGCCTCTGTTGGTTTGACGCTATTACTTAATTGTATCTTCATTGCAATAAGCTAATTTTTTATACTACTTGTGCCAAAACTAGTTTGCTGTTATCAAAACTAATTCACCCTTCTAATTGTTCAACCTGAACTTTGGGCATTGCTATCCAGGGTTTGGTGGAAGGTGAGCATGAGAAGTACCAATCTCATTTTAGCAAGTACGGAGTATATCGGAAAAGGTATTGAGTACAGCAAGATTGAGGATATTTACAAAATGCTGCTATACATCCCCAAAGAAGTTCATGAGGCAGCCTCCTAAATAGTACAAGAGGTTTACTCGATTTTGTTCAGTCCGTACCGCCCTGCCTCAAACTCTAAAATGCTGGCTGATAATAATGAAATATATTGAGGGGGTTATCTTAAAATATCTTATGGACAAAATTACTATAGTTACTATGAGTAAACTCTTATAATTAGTGCAATGTAAAATTAAACATAAACATGTTTGCTGGGGTTACTTCTTACTACTATGGTTATTGTTATGGTCATTGTTTATTAAATTATATATTTGTCCACCATTTTTAGTTCAGTCATATGTTTGTCACATATTATTTCTACTATATATTCACCATTGGAGTAACACATTATCCTCCTGGGAGTAACATATTATCCTCCTGGCCCTAAACTATTCATATTTTTCTTCGGTTCATCCCAAAATTACATTCCATTTCTTTTAGAGAGAAGAGTATGTATTTCATGTTATTTCACTATCCTTTTGATCAATTTAACCGCATACTTTTTTCTTCTTAATCTTCATGACGGGTCTTTGTAGGTTAAACACGGAAATGCGGCTAACTTGAGAGGATGGCTAAGCTCATAACGAAACTGAATGCCCTAAATGAAGCCGTGGGAGGAAATGATGATGATGATGATGAGTGAGTGATCAACTCACTAACATATTCGGGATCTCAACACCACCAGCCTAATCCCGATATGTTGTAACTTTTTATGTCAAAGCAATGTTTCAAAATCTTCGAGAAAAGGGTCAAATAAGCCCTTCTACTATTATGAAATAGTCACATAAGGCCATGTACTCAATAAAGTGTCATATAAGTACCTCTACTTGTAAAAAACAATCAAATGAGTCATAACGATCTATTTACAACCTCCTAATCCCGGTTTTAGCTTACATGTCGAATTTTTTGACTTGTATTTCAACCAATCTTAGTTAAATATTCGACGTATGCCGTATATTCTATTCGAAAACGATGATCAGAAGTACGCTAAAACCAGGATTAAGAGGTGTTAAATAGGTCATTAGGACCCATTTGATTGCTTTTTACAAGTAGATGTACCTATATGACACTTTATTGAGTATATGACCTTATGTGACTATTTCATAATAGTAGAAGGCCTTATTTGACCCTTTTCTCCAAAATCTTCTTATGGCTATTTTCCCTTAATCTTTGGTTTGAATTTCTTTGAACTGAATTAAAAACCCTTATGGTTTTCACAAAAGACTGCATTGACGGTCTAGTTATTGGGATATAGAAGTACATATATTAGAAGGTTACTGTGAGCTCTGGGGGCTCCCTCTTTGGTTCAAAATTCCTTGTGAAACAGAATATAATTACGTCAATGGATAAATGAATCATAAATTCATAATCATTAGACCACTTCAAATTGAGAGGGAGAGCTAGTCTATCTTCGTAAAACTTTAAGATCTAATCGCAGAACTTGATAATTAATATAATGAGTAAATGAAATTGTGTAGATTGATCTGATCATGTTATTTTGAGATGTGCTGATTTAATTTATACTTTCTTGAATCTTTTATTACGCCTTAGGATCATACGGGAAATAAAATTTAAGTTTCATGCGAAGAGGACAGGTAGTTATTCACTTATTTGAATTATTACATTGTACGGTACTTTGTAGGCCAAAATGCTGTTGAGACTTGAGAGCATCTATTCTGATTTTGAGGGCACGACTAAAATGTGGAATAAATCATTTTGGCCAAATTATACCTGTTTTCTTTCCATTGGAAATGTATTATTTTGAGGTTAAATGAAAACTTTTTTTCTTCTTTCTCTAATTCCAGTTCCAACTTTTAATCGGTGCACACTCGAGCCCTTCAAATCCGACATTCACTATCCTATCACCATCACCGTAAAGAGCAGGCTTCCTCTATGATGCAGTTAGACAAAGAGCAGAATTTCTCGTGTAGTCTACTTATTTCTTCTCGGCGTCATCATATGTGACGCCTGATTTGCTAGAGTTGATGAAATCTCTGGACCATAGGAATGTAAGAATGTTTCAAACATGTTATGTAGGCTATTGATGTTGTATCTGATTCTCTAAATATAAAGATGCATTGTAATTAAACGAATCATATATTCGTTGGGATATTTCTATTATTCGAAAATGAGTATTATGTTATACTCAGACGAGTATATATGTTTAAAATAAATGAGCATGTGTATGACTTAAAAAATGAGCATACTAGATATTTCAATAGTAGAGTCACAATGATCAAAGGCATAGAATAAATGCTTAATGAAAATGTTTTGATATTTTGACGCTCAAAGTTTTAAACTTTTCAAATACTCATTTCATAAATCATATTGGAGCTCCTAAAAGTATGTTACAACTAAAAGTATTACAAGTTACACACATAGCCTACTAATATAAAAGAAATTGTTTTAGATAAGAGTAAAAGCAATGTAAAAATTTAAAGTAAGAGTATTACATTTTCCCCTAAATTCAAGTAATTATTTTCATTTTCGGAAAATACCATTTATTGTTTATATAATACTATCATACTAATATCTCATAATGTCAAAATATGAGAGTATGATCTAACAGTCAGTCATGTTTCAAAAAACGACGTCTTATAGATGCTTAGGTAGTGACTATATTAATAACTTTGGCTACAATTTCATCCATAAGTTTAATTTCAATATATTTTTGGAAAACGTCTTATAAAATACTAAAAGGTAAATTGTAATAGAGTTATGTATTTGATGAACAAGTTTGCCGCAATTATTAAAGGCTCTTAAATTAATTGTCGTCAAGTCTTTTGTGCGCTCCCCTACTTCACTCTAGGCATGGATCGGTTCCGATTTTGGGCCGAGTTTGAAAGTCGGCTACCCTAGAACCGAGACCGGCACCTGATATACCGGTTCCAGGCCGGTGCGGGTCGTGTTTTAATCCCCTTTTAATTTGTTTTATATATTTTAAAACCCTCATGAAACTCCTTACCTCTTTTAGATTTTAAATGAATTTATACCTCTTAAAATTCTTAGAGCATCTCCTAAAGTTGATTTGAATTACTTGTTTGCAAATTTAAACAAATATCTTATTATTGGAGATTGCTTTTCTTTTTACTTGAGAAAGCTAATTATCCAAAAGGACATACTAGCTTAATGGAAGAAATTATTAAATATAATATTATACTCGGTATTATTTATGATAAATGAAGAGAAAGAATTTGTTAATAACCATTGAAGTAAATTTTACTAATCCCTAAGAGCATAAGAGCAATTGGGAGGAAAGATTCTCCTTGTGGAGGGTTTTGAGAAAGGGAGGAATATTTGACATGACATGGAATCATTTTTCTCCCTCATTTTATCCTTGGTATGTTTTCCTTAATATTCCATATCATGTTAATTTCTTATCCAGACGTCTGACTGCACATAGCATAATTGTGCAGAGTATCTACTACTCATGTATAGCTATTTTATGGCAAGTACAATCTTTTATGCTTCTGGTTTTACTTGCATTGAGTATTCACTTTCTTCACCGTCCACAAATTGGATAATCGCTTAGTCATTTAGGCCTCTACACCATTCCACTTGTGCTTCAATACTTACGTACAGACTTTTTGTTCTCATCAACGTAGCTATCTATAATACACATGATGGTTGTTCATTTCTCTGAACATGATTGCATTTTCAGATTAGCAGCATCTTCAATAATACTTCTAAACTAATTTATCAGGTAATGACTTGGTGGTAGTCGGGGGAGGGCATGCTGCTACTATAGCTGTCCGTGCTGCCAATAAAGGTTTGTTGAAGCCAATTGCTATTGCTGCTATTGCGCCCACTTGGGCTGGTCCACTTCCTATTGTTTTTGGTAAAGATTCTAATATGGAGACAAGGTAGACTTTATTCCTTCCATATTCTCTCTTTAACTACCTCTCTACATATCTTTGGAAGGGACCAGACTACCAGAGGCTCTGGACGGGTAGCTCAACTGGTTCGGTCCCAGTACTAAAAAATATCTGAGATCGCTAGTTCGACACTTCGACCCCACAAAGGACCATTAAAGGTTTACCCAGTTGCTAATTTTAGGGTCTGTGGATTAGTAGGTCAAAATGGTCGTGATACCCATTACCCACTATAATAAACACATAATTGAAAGGGACCTTAGCAAGATAAGCTCACTGATATTAATCAACATTGTAGGATTTTACTATAGTTGATTTTCTAGTTACATAATGGGAATCTTGAACCCAGATTAATGTGAGGATTGGTAACTAAAGCTGCAATATAGAAAACAGTTAATTATTGCAGCTATGGTGCTCATGGAAACTTCTATGAGAAGTGTATCTCGTTATTTGAAATTGAAACTCCCTGAAATGGTTCCAAGTTTTTTATAGTTCTCAAAAGCTTGTAAACAAGTTTCAGGACAAAAAGAACACGTACTCTTTGTTCTAAAAGGCTCCCTTGGTTACAGGTTGGCTCAGGTCACCCAGATCCTCTTATTTATCGTGGCGCTGACTAATTTTTTTGTTTTATACGTAGTATTCTTTTTGGTTTCCCTGAACTCTTTAGGGATTAAGGCTTAGATGTTGTTGTTGTTGTATTCTTTTTGGTTTGTGAAGGATCATCATTCATCAAGACTGGCATATCATATTATCATCTGCCCATGTCTTGAACCCATATCATCACATGTGTAGAGTCTTAACTTTTTTAAGATTGATCGGTACATTTGAAAAGGACAGACTTGAGATTCTCTTATTCATGCTTTGAGTAACCCATTTTAAAGGGAATATAAAATAATGTTTGATTTTTCTCTTGTGTATAGCTTGATATTTGTCCAACACTGGACACTCTAGAAATCTGACTGTATGGCAAATGTATTATATACTTGCCTTTTGTTAATAGGTTTTCTTATGCGTGCCTCTGGGCATATTTTTATTGATACACTTACCTTTTATTAATAGACTTTTTATTATTATCAAAAATAATTTTGAGAACTTTAAGCATAATATGCTCACTAATTGCTTCTTATCTTGTGCTCATGGGGCACACTTTAAATAAACCCTATATTTAGTTGGTTTGATTAATCATCACACAGAAATGTTTTCCTACAATGTTGATTTCAAAGGGTACATTATTGTATTAGTTCCAAATTAGTCCCTCAATTACCACTTCCATTTTCCCTTTGAATTTTTAAATAGGCATCACTAGTCCCCATTAAACTCATTGTGTAGTTGTAACGCCTAGCTGGGCCTTTTCTTGTTAAATTTTAGGACAAATAATTCAATGGGCAAAAATATCCGTGCAATCCCCACAAAGGCCCCTTTCAAGACTGCGTTTAAAATTACAAAAACCTCTAAGGAAGAGACCAGTGTTGCCCATTTTCTGATAACTGACAGATTAACACTGTCCATATACTCCTATATTCTATAGAAGTGAAGGATAGATAATGGTAGCGTTACTCGAGTCTAAAAAAACTGTTAAAGTTACTCTATTACTTGGCTAAGCTGATGCTAGTATGTTTTCTGTTTGTGTTTATTATTTGTTTTTTCATGAACCTGTAGGTATGGTCTTCTTAGAGGGACTTTACGGGCTCCTGCCGTTGGCTGGATGATGTACAATGTACTTGTTAGCAACAAGAAATCAATCGAGTCACAGTACAAATCACATGTTTATGCTGATCCAGAGAATGTCACTGCAAGTTTTATCGAGAGCCGATATGCACTTACAAAGCAGAGAGGTGCTCGCTACGTGCCGGCAGCTTTTTTGACTGGTTTACTCGACCCTGTAAAATCCAGGGAGGAATTTGTTCACCTTTTTGCAGGGTTACAGGGAAGCATACCTATTCTTGTTATTTCAACCCCTGGCTCTCCAAAGAGATCAAAAGCAGAGATGGAAGTTCTTAGGGAAGCTGAAGGAGTGAGCAAATATGTTACAGTACCAGGGGCTCTTCTCCCCCAAGAGGAGTATCCTGAGAAAGTTGCTGAAGAGCTTTATAGGTTTTTACAGGAGTATTTGAGCTAAAGACCAGTTTATATGACGGTTAATGGTTTAACCCCTGTATGAGTTTCACCTGGTATACAAGAACTTTGTGTTTATATGAAAAAGAGAAACAATACATCTATTTAGTGAGCCATTGTTACTTTCATTAGGACTTGAACTGTCTTGTAATGAATCATTTTTTAAGTTCCATATAAATACGAGATATGTACTAATAATATTAGTCATTAGTAAAACATCTTAGCGAGATAGCGAGATGTGTTTTGTTGTGCACCATTTCAATTAAGTAACAGGCCATAATCAGTGGGTAAATGTACAACTGTTCTATGTGCCGCAGTGTTGGAAATTGGAATGCAAGTATGTCTCGTTGTTTCTCTATGACTGTTAATCGTATTTGTTGAATTGCTATGCTATGGAGTTGTTGGGGGGACATGGTTTGTCAGGTTCGTCTTAATATAGCATCTGAGGTGATGGTATCTTACTATTGACCCCAACAGGGTGAAGCATGTGTTATGTTGATATAACGTTGATGTCTTTTGCAAAATGAGTTTGACACAAGGACAAAGTTTGTATACAGATCAAAGCCCCCACATGTGTATTGTGAAAGTAGGCTGTTCTTCCAAATGGATTGTCAATTCTTTCTCTTGGTGTGCTATTGATAAAGTATCCTCGCTGTGAAAGGCAAAACAGGCCTCAAAAAATATATGCTAACACCGGACAGATCTCCAAGTGTTGTTACTTGTTACTATGTTGGAATCAACAAAACAAGACATGCTCCGGCCACATTGTAAGGGGAAGGTTAGCTAATCTATTGAGCTCTCCATACTGTGTACTTAAAAAGCTGTATTAGTCTTCACCTAATGGGAAGCACACATGAGTTATTATGTTCTGTTGTTCCCTGACGAGTTGTAGCAAACTAATTGGATCTGTATGTTCATGCGCAGTGAGAAGTGTGCATCTGAATATGTTTCTGCACGACTTAATGAGGATTCAACTATGTCTCTGAGCATATCTATTACTTTATTGCTTATGTATAGCTATGTGAATGTCTAGACTCTAGACTAGTAGAGTTTATGCAGTGTTGATAACTTGAGGTCGAAAACTATACGTAGTATTAAACATGTTTTTCCGACCTCCAGTGAAGTAAAACGAGTTTGCAAGCTGTGTTTTTTGCGCAAACTATTTTTCTCCGAGTGAATAGCTATATCATTTCACCCAATCGTCGAGGGTCTTGATTATTATGTATTGTTGAGTCCTTTTCTCACTACAAGCCTACAATTAACATGTTGATCCTACTTCTAGCATTTGATTTTGCAGTTTAACCATGATGGCTGAAGATCTATTGATCTACCTAGGGGTGTTTGGAACTGATTCTGCTTCTGCTTCTTTTTTAAAGCAGAAGCAGAATCAGAATAAGTTTTCAGAAGCTGGTACCCCCAAATTCTAAAAAAACTGATTCTTGGAGTAAATTAGAGCACCAGAAGTGCTTCTGGAATTTTACCCAAACACTCCAGCTTCTGCTTCTGCTCCTTGAAGGAGCAGAATCAATTTTGAGTATCAGATCCAAACACCCCCCTATTGATCTATTGGAGGTTTGTGAAGCTATTCTGAGTCTTGAGATTGTTGACATAGATGTTGTTGGTTGGTCTGATCTGGTTTAGTCTGGATTGGTTGATAGATGTATGATCTCTATGTATTTTTCTCAGCCTTGCACGAATAGTTTGAGGATACTCCTCACTAGTTATGCGGCATGCCGGGAATCCAACAATTACCATTCCACCTGATCAGTCAGGAGCGTGACTGCGTGAGATGTTTATTAGTTTATTTGTGTATAGTTCATGTATCATATGTCATATTTTTTTAAATTATGGGACATTTAAAACATGTAGAAGCATATGTTCATGTTGTGACCGTACAAATAATATATTAGCGTGTATTTCTGAAACCGTTGCATACTATATACGAACATACACAGGGACAGATCCATAATTTCGAATCAAGGGGGCAAATTTTTTCGTTTTTGTTGGGGAGAAATTTATTTCGCTATTGTGGAGGGGTCGGGGGCAACCCCCCACTAGTGTATGGCTCTGATCTACTTTTTTTAAAAAAAAAATCATTAATACATACATGACGACATTCAAATCTATTACATTCTAAGTTTAGACAATGGAAAATAATTTTGATTTTATAATTGAAGTGCTCTAGAAAAAAAGTATTAATGCATTAAAGCGTAAGAAATGGAAAATCAAAGGGAAATTATTTGAAAATAAAAATATATATATAATATTTTATCAAATTATTTGAATATCAAAAGGTTTAAAAGGTATACATCCACCAATACTTTAAATTTCAAATAACTTGTGCTTTGTTTAATCACATGTATTATCTTATCGGAATATATGATTAGTTTTTGATTTGCAATTTTTGTCTACCAAGGAGGGTGTTTGTGAGTCACGAGAAGTTTTCTTAATATTACAATAGCATGTATGAGATTATTATTTTTAAAATCATATTAAATTGCAGATTCATATATATGGTGCATTTATATTTGTATTATTGCTAAAATAAGTTAAAGTTTATTATCTATGCAATAAACTGTTTTTAGAAAGTAAGAAGTAAATCGATTGTGTATTTTAATGTTAAGTGTCATCAACAAACATTTATATTTTGGATTCGATTCACATGATTTAAAAACAGTTTAACTAGTGTGTCTGATAATTAAACATTACTTCCAAAAAAAAGATAATTAAACATTACAAAACTAGACATTTTTATATAATAGGTATCCTAAGTCTTGAACAATGAGTTACTCTATTGTTTATTTGTTTAAGTTATGTAAATTATTTTAGATGCCATATAAAATTTTGAAAATTAAAAGTTAAGGGGGGCGAACACATATATATCTAATTAAAGTATAAAAAATTTATGAAAATTTTACATATATAATAGAAAGTTTTGAAAGTCCAAGGGGGGCTGTCGCCCCCCCTAAATCAATCCCTGAACATACATATTATTCTGATTCTAATGTTCACAGACTATATTATTCTAACAAAGCGTGAGACACAAATTGGAGCTAGAAACACTTGACTTGTTAGGGATGGATGAAAGAAAATTAAAAAGACATTAAACAAAATGAAGTGAGAATGTTCTATTATTTACAAGTGGGATTACATACTGTGTTCGACCCTTTGACAATAGTGTTGCATGTTCGATCATTTATTTTTACACAGTTTATTGTTGGACCCAGACAAGTTTGGTCTAGTCTCATGTAAGGATAAGGCTCGACGGACATTGGCGACCTCTTTGGTCGAGTGGGACCCAATTCAACAATTCCACACACCAGGTGGAAGGGGATCTTGTGCTCACCGTCAGCACCAAAATCACAAATTTCATTGAAGTGCCTATGTTACATCTTATTGAAAGGCTAAAAAAGCTTGGGTAGATGAGTTTGAAATATACATTGAAAGCAAATCATTTTGTTTTCATTTTTTTATTGCAACTCTATTCGTATAGCTGAAACGAAAAATAACATCACATCTACCTTGAACTCTATTCCTAAGTTTTTATCTCATAGTTGGTCTTGCACTAAGTTAGACTTTAAGAATTCTATTTTCATTTTTCAAGATGCCAATTTCTTTGGAGGATTCTTCCGCATTATCAAGAAAGACGATGATTCTTTATTTATACCAGAAGGACAAATAAACAGACTAAAGATTAAGCACTGACAGGGATCACAAGAGCACATTATATGATGAAGAAAGATTTAGCCAAACAACAACCTTGAGAGATTCAACACACTGCTATTATGATTCATTGAGAATGACTTTTCTATTCGAGAGGGATCTTCTCATTCCTAGGCTGGATGAAGACCCCTCCGATCAAAGTGATTTTCTATTTCGAGAGAATTGTTTCAGGTTGATATTGAGCGTTTTAGCTCTTTTGGAAAATCTCTTGCGGTGCACTCTATTGAGGACCTCTGTTGTTCTTTGCATACGCCGCAACCTAACCCTCCCCTGGAAGCAGTTAAGTATTTCTTTCAGACATCTATGATTAATGGGGTGAAATCGTTGTCTCAATTTTTAGTTAAAGAATTTGAAAGAATCCTTATATCTTTCTTAGGTAAGCGGGACTTTTTGGATGAGTGATGTTTTTATACATAACCATTACAGTGATGGTGTTTATTCTGAGTAGTTACTTTCTTACTCGGGGAATGAGTTTCTTGGTCATGCTTCATATAGTTAATAGAGGGCTCTTATTACATCTATGGATGATCTATGTGTCTCAGATACAAATCTAGACATCTATGACAAAGCATACTAGTCACGAAAAACAACTGCTTGCCTACACATAATTTGAATGCTCAAATAAAAACATATAGGAAAAAACATCAGCAGTCACATATCATTTAAGGAGGGTTATTCTGATGCATCAGGATTGGGGTTTTCCTTCTTTCCTTTGTTTTTCTCTTTTATCTTTGTTTCTTGTACTTCTCGAATGTTCTTTAATAAAATTTCCTTGGTTGAATACAAAACCTTTATCAAATAAATTAGTTTTGATTTTGATTAAATTTTAATATGATTCACATCCCTTTTTAGAGGAACTCATATACTAAAGTTTATGTATTAGTGAGTCATTAATATGTTTACTTTATGGTTAATATTTACAACCCACAAGTAATTACTCTACTTTTAAAAACTATATCTACTCCTTTAAATAAAAATCAAAATAGATTTTTTTTTGAATTTTGGCTAAATTTTCATAATAACTACAAAATTCTCATTGGAATAAGATACGATAGTATTAGACACTATAGGAGAACTTCTCATAAACTAGTTTTACTTCTTGAATGTTCATTTTCAGAATAATCTTCACTAAATATAATGGTAACTAATACCCCCGTCCCAAAATGAAGTTTCTAGTCACTATTCAGTATTCACATGGTCAACTTAAATCATTTTTAATCGTTTGCTTTATATATCAAATTTTTATCAAATTTAATTTTTCTTGATCAGGCATTGTAAAAATTTTAATATAGTTTTTGAATATGTAAATTTTATTTACTAATGAGTGTGAACATGGATCAAATTGCTTTATCGTCATTCAAATATCATAAACCGAAACGGGAACTTCTTTATGAGATGGAGGAGTATAAAATAATAAGAGTACACTATGAAATGATGGTAACTGTTGGTCCATAATAGTAAAATTGTGAGCCTTTTGGGAGGTTATGACATAATATCAGAGTCAAGTCAATGTTGTCAGATACTTTGTCG